TGCCCGGACTCACCTTGGTGCCGAATTTGTGGCTGTGCTGCACCAGCAGCGGCCCCTCCATGGCCGGCGGCTCCATCACCGAGCGCTTCCGCTGGGGCGGGGACCGGGCGGGACCGGGACGGGAACGGGGACGGGGCGGGGACGGGGCGGGGACCGGGATGGGGACGGGACGGGATGGGGACGGGACGGGGCGCGGACCGGGATGGGGACCGGGACCCGGCGGGGACCGGGATGGGGCGGGGATGGACGGGAACGGCGACCGGGATGGAGACGGGGCGGGGATCGGGATGGGGACGAGGCGGGGACCGGGATGGGGACCGGGATGGGGCGGGGATGGGACGGGAAGGTGACCGGGATGGGGACGGGGCGGGGATCGGGATGGGAACGGGGACCGGGATGGGGACTGGGACCGGGCAGGAACGGGGACGCGCGTGTCAGGGGCGGGGCGTGCGCGTGCACGTGTGCGCGTGCACGTGAACAGATGTGCGCACAGCTGGGCGTGTGCCCGCGCGCGCGTGCGGAAAGTGCGCGTTGTGTGGCTCTGCTCAGATATTTGCTGTGTGTATTGTGTTGTGTTGATTAGCAGTGCTGCGTTAACCTTTGAACAGCATGGCAAAGGTAGTTTTGTAGTTAAAAGGTAATTTTTGTAGTTAAATAATTTAACTTAATTTAATTTAAAATAGGAACTAATGTATGTGGGATTTTTTTTTTTTTTTTTTTTTTTTAAAGAAAGGAATGAAGTACTCGCACCAGATAGCAGCCACAGGACACCTAAAATTTTCAGAGAAAGAGAATTTATTGCTCTTTTATCAGAAGAGGCTAAATTCTTCCTGCCTTGCTGAGCCACGACGACACCGTTAGGATTAGGAATGGTGTTTTTAGGATTAGGAATTAGGCGTTTTTCTCATGTGACACAGGCGTGTGCTCTCCATGGGGACAGAAAACGCGCTCGGATGGGCTGAGGGTAAGCGAGGGGTGAAAAACGCCAATCGCTTGTTTTTAGAAGGTTAAAGTTTAACAGTAATAAAATGGTTATTAAAATAGTAATAAAATTAAAGTAATAAAAATTTGGACAATTTGGATTAGGACAATATGAGACAATAAAACCAAAGAGTTACAGACAGTCCGGGTACCTCTTTCTGGGCAAAATAAGCCCAGAAACAGAGGATTAACCCTTAAAATTAATAGCCCATTGCATTGCATATTCATATGCCTCATCCATGATGCATAAATTCCATTCAAACAAAGGATTCTGTCTGGTCGGTATCAACTTCTTCCTCTTAATCCTGACAGCATCTTCATGGCTGAGCAAGGTAGGAAGAAGTTAGTTTCTTCTGATAATGGAGCAATAAATTATTTTTCTGTGAAAGATTCAGGTGTCCTGTGGCTGCTGTCTCAGTGTGAGTCCTCTTTTTAAAAACAAGTATCTTACATAGCATAGTTTATATTTTAACATTATGTTCTAACTTAAAACTATAGTTAACACACTACTTAAGAAAATGAAAACAGCATAACTTTCTGACATAACACATATAATATTCATTTGAATATTTACAAAAAGCCAGTCGTAAAATACACATTTTTCACAGAGGGCAATATGGGGAGTGGACAAGGGGATAGGTGAGGTTTCACAGGACAGAGGGTGCTTACCTCAAGCTCATAGCCCAAGAAAATCGTGGAATAGCCAGGTGCTCACAGAGAGAGCAGAGAAGGCAAAGAATCACAACAAACACCTGTGTGTGCCCAGCCCTGCACAGCTTCATTCTCTGCCTGGAGACAGGGTAATGCCATCTATATCTCATGCCATGTCCCTGGGCACCGAGGCCACTCCAGGGGCACTGGGCTGCTCCCAGTACTGTCCCTGTCATCGCTGGCCACTCCAGGGGCACTGGGCTGCTCCCAGTACTGTCCCTGTCATCGCTGGCCACTCCAGTCTGCCCCAGAAGCCTCCTGCAGGGCCAGGCATTCCCAGCTGGGACAGGTGCTGGCTGTGAGGCAAAGGACAAGGACAAGGACAAGGACAAGAACAAGGACAAGCACAGCCTGTGCTCAGCACACCCAGCGTGGATGAGCCAGCCTGGTGGCACTCTGATGGCACTGGGACCCTGCCAGCTCACTGCTGCTCACACACTCTTGGGCTTCTTGCTGCTTTGACGGCCCAGGCACCATGACTCGGTTTCCTGGCGCAACATAAACCTGCAAAGGAGGAGGGAGAAGCCACAGGTCCTGGCTGCCCAGGCTCTGATGCCCATTTCTCCACCTGTGGTTTTGGTGGAACGGCTGCAGGTGGGGAGAGCTGCTGAGGGGAGCTTTGCAGTGCCTGGATGGATGCAGGGGTGACTCTGCACTGTCCTGGCTTCACCCCTCACATCTGCATGGTAACAAAATTGTGCTAATGTCCTGGTTTAGGAATGACATTCCCCAATGAAATGCTCACATTGAAACATCCCAGACCAATTGCTCACAGCCCTCCCCTCCCCCGAGGCAGGACAGAGAGGAGAACAGGACAAGTAAAGATCACACAGGCTGAGATAAGAGCAATGTTCTAGAAACAGCAACGGGATGTAACCACAGCAATACCGATAACAGAGCGTACAAGACAGACGAAAGATCAGACCACAAACTCGGGCAAAATAATGACATCAACACACAGGCCCGGTGGTCTGAAAAGGAACAAAACGGCTCGGTGGTGTCAGACAGCCCGGGCCGTGTGTGGGCAGGGCTCTGTCGTGTGCAGCTGCGGGACAGGGAGCTCATGACGTGGCAGCACATCTGCCCGTGGGACAGACACAGCCACGAGCCAGAGAGCGGCTCGGAGCAGGGGGAACAAGGCAAAGAGCCTGACGCTGCGGGCAGGTGAGTCACCTGCACGGCACACGGGCCAGCCCGCTGGCACCGACCTGCAGGGCATCGCCCGCCAGGCCTGGCAGCAGGGTGTGCCCGGGGCAGGCGCCAGCTCGGCGGTGAACGCAGGGAGATGATGACACTCCACCCCTCGGGAACAGCTCTGGGGCTGCGGGCTCCCGGGAAGCTTCAAAGGCGGCAGGAAGAAGCGTTGCACCGGGAGGACCCCCGAATTTGGGGACCCGGGGGACCGGGAGCGGCGGCGGCTGCAGCGCCGGGAGCTCCGGTCTGCGGCTCAAGCATCGCCTCCCAGGGGCTCCGCACGGATTTCGGGGACCCCCCCCCCGCTCCGCCCCGGGCCCCGGCCCCACCCGCGGGGCCGCCCCCGGCGCTGCGGCGAGCGCGTCCCGGCGGGGGGGCGGGCGGTGGAGCCGCCCCTGCGCGGAGCTCTCCGCGCACCCTCCATCCCCTCCCGCGAGCACTGCATCCCCCGCAAGCACCAAACGTTCCACCCCTCTGCTCATCCTTCCATCCCCTCCCGCCAGCGCTGCATCCCCCAGCAAACATTCCATCCCCCCGCGCACCCTCCATCCCCCTGCGCACTCCTTCACCCCTGCTCCCCATCCATCCATCCATCCATCCATCCATCCATCCATCCATCCATCCATCCATCCATCCATCCATCTCCCCAAGGACTCGTCCGTTCCTCCGCGTATTTCTCCGCGCATCCCTCCGCTCACTCCTCCGTCCCTCCGCGCATCCCTCCGTCCACCCGCGCATTCCTCCATCCCTGCGCGCACTCCTCCATCCCCCCGCGCATCCCTCCATCCCTCCGCGCATTCCTCCATCCCTCCGCACATCCCTCCATCCCCCCGCGCACTCCTCCGTCCCCCGCGCCCCCCGCGCCTGTCCCCGCTCCCGGCGGGGCCGCTCCTGCGCGGGGATGGCGGAGCGGCCGCGCTTCCTCTGCGGCGTGGTGGAAGGTAGGTCCCTCCGGGGCCGCGGCTGGGCCGGTCCCGACCCTGTTCCGATCCACCCGAAGCGAAGCGGGGTCGGGAAGGGCCCCAGGCTGGGGGGGAGGCGGGAGCGGGGCCCTTGCACAGACCCCCCATCTCTGCCAGGGCTCTGGGATGCTCCCAGCTGTCCCCAGAGAGCCCTGCGGCCACCCCAGCAGAGCCAGAGGGGCACAGGGAGCCTCTGCTCGGCCTCCAGGGGTTCTTGGCTGTCCTGGACTCAGGGGCACTGCCCGGTGTGCCCCCCTGCCCATGGGGCAGCTGTGCAGGACCTGTGCTGGCCAGGGAGAGCTCTGTGCTTCTCCCTCCCCACATCCCCAGCTCCCTCTGGGGCTGAGCAAGGCCTGGCAGAATCATTTGCCCTTCTGCTGGCAGCACAGCGCCCTGCGAGGGGCACTGCCCTCTGCCTCACCTGAGAGGAAGCAGGAGCACCACGCCAATAAATGTAAAACAAACAGGAAATGCAGGGGAGGAGAAGCTGACGTGATTCAGCCGTGAATCATTGGTATAGTAGAGCTGACCTGGGAAAGAGGACAGGGATGATGCATTAAATAAAATCCATTCCAGGAGAACACTGCTGGCAGGGCGTGTGCAGGACTGAGCGGCCTCCTTGGCAGCCCACGTCAGCTCACAGCAACACGTGCTGTGAAAATGTCACTTGCAGGGGCCATGCAGGGACTCTGGAGACCTCGCTGGGATCTCAAAATAGCAAATTATTTACCACAGAAATAGCTTTCTTTGGGTGAAATGTCTGCTGGGATTCTCGAGTGCCCACAAATTTGGCCCTGTGCACGGTGGGGGATGGATAGCAAGGTGAAAATATATTATTTCAAAAGATATGGAATAACCATGTAGGTGTTCAGGCAGGTAGAAAATCTGCCTGCAGGGAGAAGACAGATGGAGAGAGGGTGTTGCTGTGGTGCAAACCCCCTCACCATTGCCCAGGACTGCTGCTGGGGGCTGCAGGGTGGGCTCCTGCCAAAGGGAGCCAAGGGAATGAGGGCAGGTGAGCTCTGGGACACTCAGGTGCTTTGGGAAATGGAGGTGACACTGGCCTCATGGAGAGCTGGTCCTTTCTCCCAGCTTGGTGGAGTCAGTGTAGCCTGCCCTTGTGCACCACCCAGTTTTGGGAATGCTGTCACTTCCCAATATCTGCTCCCCTTGGCCCTGACTGCTGAAAATTGCAGTGATTGACCCAAAAGTTGCCCACAATGCAGAGAGAAAGCAGAAGATACCTTGATGGCCAATTGCCATCACTGTCCAAGACATAATGGATTTTCTATAAGACTTCACGTTGCATCTGCCAGATCTGGAAGAGAATTGAAGTGGCTGAAGGTTCTTCTCTTGCTAAATCTCAGGTCTGTGCTGGGACTCTGACAGGTTCCCTTTAACCCCCACTTTGAGGAGCTGTCAAATCTGCATTTCTCCAAACCCATTAAGCAGCCTGTCCCAGGGGAAGGGGTTTGTGTTCCTCTGGATATCCTTTCTCCCTGGCTTTGCAGACAGCTCTGCACCTCCCAGCTCTTCCTACATGCAGAAATGGGAAGGGCCCTTCCCTGGAAGAGTCCCAAAGGCAGAAGGGGTGCTGCATGCCTGGCAGTGCCTCTCTGCCTTCAGACACTATTCCGAGGCACTTTCCAACAGCTGCATTTTGCCTTTTTTCCCTCCCTTTTACAGGTTTCTATGGGAGACCATGGTCAATGGATCAGAGGAAACTCCTCTTCCAGTGGCAAGTACCCTGAATTTTCCTCTCTGAAGGTGCGGGTGGCAGCCAAGGGACCTCACGCTTGCAGTGTCCCCCTGTCCCAGCGCTCTCCCGGCCCCGGGAAGGATCCGCGCTTGGCCGGGCCGGGGGTGCGGCGGGCCGGACGGACGGACAGACAGACGGGGGACCGGCAGGTGGTGCTGGGGCTCCGCACATCCCGCTGCAGCCCCGCTGCCACCAGCAGCAAGCCAGGACAGCAGGCGGGCAATTCCAGCCAGCCGGGGCTCGCTGAGCCGGGCCGATCCCGCTGGGATCGGGGGGCATCGCTCCATCCTGAGCACAGCTGTGTCACAGCTGCCATCCCCGCCTGCTGTGTCCCTGTGAGCCCCCACGCGTGTCTGTGTGTCAGCCTGTGTCCCTGTGACCAAAGGATGAGCTCGGGATCTGTCACTGGGACGGGAGGTTTCTGTGCAGCTCCTCTGCGAGAGGCTGCTGCCCAAGCCTGGGCTGTCAGTGGGATGAGCTGCACTGACAGGACCTGCCACCAGTGACTGCCACCAGTGACCTGGGGCTCTGCAGGGCCTCCCGTGGGCAGTGCAGTGGTGACAGTGTGGGCAGTGACAAGTGTGATTAAGGACCAGAGTGCAGAGACAGAATTTACAGAATGATCAGGTTGGAAAGGATCTTCAAGATCATTGAATCCAACCCAGCCCCAACACCTCAACTAAACCCTGGCACCCAGTGCCACATCCAGGCTTTGTTAAACACACCCAGGGATGGCGACTCCACCACCTCCCCAGGCAGAAAATTCCAGAATTTTATCACCCTTTTTATTAAAAAAAAAATCGTGATATCCAACCTGTATTTGCCTTGGTGCAGCTGCAGGCTGTGTGCTCTGGTTCTGTCAGTGCTGCCTGGAGACAGAGCCCAGCCCCAGCTGAGCACAGGCACCTTTCAGGGAGTTGTAGAGTGATAAGGGCACCTGTGAGTCTCCTTTTCTCCAGTCTGAACACCCCCAGCTCCCTGAGATACAGGTACAGAAAATGGAAGGAAAACAAGCTGGGATGTTTTAAAGTTCCTCAGGAATGAGCAGGTCTTGTCTGGTGCTGCACTGGGATGTGTTCACATGGTGGCACATGAGGGTGGCATGTCCATCAGTGTTTTTTTTATCTGGAAAGAAACAAAATAAGGGACTTTTATCATGAGATAGCTGAAGTGCTCTCTACTCTGCTCACCGTGGGAAAATGTAAAACATGGTCTGCTGAGGAGGATAAATAAAACCAAATTAATATATCGGATGCCTTCCATACAGAAGTGCCAAAAGAGGGAGGTGTCTGCCCTCCCAGAGGGCACATCCTGCTGGTGTGTGACACAAACCTCAGAGCTCAGCCCTGGCTGAGATCTCTGTCTCCACGTGGAGCCTGGCTGACTCCCTGCTCTCCCTGCACAGGCTGCAGCACCGGGGGCTGAACTGCTACATGTACGCACCCAAGGATGAGCTGAAGCACCGGCTGCTCTGGAGAGAGCCCTACACAGAGCATGAGGCAGGTAGCGGCTCTGCTGGGCCCCTCGGGGGGCTGCAGGCATCCCAGGTCCCTGAGGGGAAAGCATGGCTTGTGTCCCAGCTATTTCCATCCTGCCAGGACCCTGCCCCTTGCAGGGAAGCCCCCAGACCTTGCCAAGGGCAAGAAGATTCCCAGATTCCCAAGATTGCCCATCACGTGGAATTGCCTAAGGGAGCACCCAGCCTCAGGCAATGTGCTTGAGTATACCCAGGCCCACGGACCCTTGCCAAAAGTCCTCTGTGTCTTAAGAGAGTGGAAATGGTCCCCCTGGAGCATCTCCCCTCCCAAAGACCTCAGCTCCTTCCTTTCGCAATCCTGGGGTTCACTCTCCCTCTGTCCCTTGTCCCACTCCATCCCCTGCTCCCTTCATCCCTTGTCCTGCTCGATCCTTTGTTTTCTTCCATCCCTTGTCCCATTCCATCTCTTGTACCCTCCATCCCTTATCCTGTTCCATCCCTTGTCCCCCTCCATCCCTTGTACCCTCCATTCCTTGTCCTATTCCATCCCTCGATTCTGCTCCATCCTTTGTCTCCCTCCATCCCTTGTCCATCCCTTGTCCTGCTCCCTCCCTTATTCCCCTTCATCCCTTGTCCCCCTCCACCCCTTATTCCCCTCCATTCCTTGTTCCATTCCATCCCATGGTCCTATTCCATCCCTTATCCCCCTCCATCCCTTATTCCTCTCCATCCCTTATTTCCCTCCATCCCTTATTTCCCTCCATCCCTTATTCCTCTCCATGCCTTACTCTCCTCCATCCCTTGTCCCGCTCCATCCCTTATTTCCCTCCATTCCTTGTTCCATTCCATCCCTTGTCCTATTCTATCCCTTGTCCCCCTCCATCCCTTGTCCCCCTCCATCCCTTGTCCTATTCCATCCCTCATCCCCCTCCATCCCTCGTCCCCCTCCATCCCTTATTTCCCTCCATCCCTTGTCCTATTCCATCCCTTGTCCTGCTCCATCCCTTATTCCTCTCCATCCCTTATTTCCCTCCATCCCTTACTCCTCTCCATCCCTTACTCTCCTCCATCCCCTCTCCCCCTCCACCCCTCGTCCCCCTCCACCCGTGCCCCGCTCCCCCGTGCCTCCCAGCTCTCACAGGCCCGCTGTGCTGTGCTCTGTCCCCAGCCCGCATGCGGTCTCTCATCGAGGCTGCCCAAGAGCAGGGCGTGGAGTTTATTTTCGCCGTTTCTGCTGGCCAGGACATGGTGTTTTCCAGCGCTGGGGATCGCCTCCTGCTGCAGCAAAAACTCAGGCAGGTACCGTGGGCCGTTCCTTCATCCCACTGCTCCCAGGAAAGGGGCACGTGTGTTTGTGTGTGCTCCCCGTGCTGCTCGGGGGTGCTGCACACAGGGACCAGCCCTGGGCTGCCCGTGGCCGATGTGCTGTCCCTGGCGCTGTGACAGAGAGCTGAGGGCTCCACGGGTGCCTGACCAGGGACAGGAGAAGGACCAGCCGAGCCCAGAACTCTCTGGGCAGCACTGAGGGCTGGCACAGGCTGGAGCAGAGCCCCGGCTCCCCAGGGAGGGCACAGAGCTGCTGGCATGGTGGCGTCGCTCCGTGGGCAGCTGCTACTCCCTTGGCGCGGCTCAGCAGGAATGCCCCGTGCTGTGCCGTGCCCAGATGCCCCTGCCCAGCCCCCTGGGGCTCTCTGCTGCCCGGGGGTCCCAGCAGCCCCCCTCTGTGCCCGCAGGTGGCTGCCGTGGGGTGCCGCTCCTTCGCGCTGCTCTTCGACGACATCGACCCCTGCATGTGCCAAGCTGACAGAGATGTCTTCCCCTCCCTGGCACAGGCTCAGGCCTCTGTGGCCAACGAGGTGTACCAGGAGCTGGGCCAACCCTCCATCTTCCTCTTCTGCCCTACAGGTACTGCCTGCAGCCCTGCAAAGCGGGGAGCCCCCTCAGGACCGGGGTGTCCTTTGGCTGCTCCCCGGTCCCTGCTGAGAGCTGAGTGCCCTGGCAGCCCCCACAGCTCTCCCTGGGCTCCTCACCCTCCCAGGGGTGCTTTGGCCATCTCAGGGCTAGACTAGGGCTAGTCCGTAGTCTCAGCTGCCCCTCCCAGCCTCCTCATCCTCCCAGGGGAGCTCTGGCCACCTAGGACTAGACTAGGACTAGTCCATGATCCCTCTCCTCTCCTGGTTCCCAGCTCTCAGGGGATGCTCTGTGCTCTCTCCCCAGAATATTGCAGCTCGCTCTGCTCTCCCAGCCCCAGCCAGTCCTGCTACCTGCAGACCATCGGCCAGGAGCTGCTCCCAGGGATCGCTGTCATCTGGACAGGTGAGCCAGGAGCAGGTCTGGGTCACACACACGTGCAGTGTCTGCAAACCCTGTGGCCACGGGCTGTCCTGGGAGAGCCACCAGCAAGTGACCCCGCTGTGGTGCCTCTCACTGGGGTGTGCAGCCCCAGGCAGGCAGGGCTTGGAGCTGGGGCTCTGCTCTCCTGGCTGGGGAGCGTGGCTGTGCTGACTGCAGCCTCATCTCCGTGTCCCTGCTGCGTGTCTGTGATGGACCCTGTGCCCACGTGTGTCCCTGCCCGACGGCCCAGGCCCCAAGGTGGTGTCCCAGGAGCTCTCAGCAGAGCTGCTGGAGGAGGTGGAGGCTGTCCTGAGGCGCCGCCCCGTCATCTGGGACAACCTCTACGCCAACGACTACGACTGCAGGCGCGTCTTCCTGGGCCCCTACATGGGCCGAGCTCCTGGCCTCACCTCCAGGCTCCAGGGGCTGCTCCTCAACCCCAACTGCGAGCTCCAGGCCAACTTCATCCCCATCCACACGCTGGGCACCTGGTTCCAGAGCGAGCTGGGCAGCTGTGCCCACCCTGACCGTGCAGGTAGCTGGCACCCGTGCCCGGGCAGCTCTGCCTGCCCAGCCCTGCCCTGCCCAGCTGGCCTGCACGGAGCCAGGGCTGCCCAGGCTGATCAGCTGCAGTTCCTCAGGAATGGAGGGAGCCCTGGAAGACAGCCAAGGTGCTCAGGATGGAAGCTACAGCCCCCAGGAAGCCTTGGAGCTGGCTCTGCGGGACTGGGTGGCTGAGATAAACCAGCAGGCTTTGGAGGCAGGTAAATGGATTTGCACGAGCAGCATCCCTCAATCCCTGGAGTGCTGGATCAGCTCTGCCAGGAGCTCGGTGGCTGGGGGGTGAGGGAGCCCCTCCCTGCCCATCTGGAGGGTCTGGGGCTGGTGTGGCAGCTGTGGGTGCTGCCCTGTGGGTGCTCCTGCCATGGCTGCAGCCTGGAGAGGGTTTCCTTGGCTGGCAGAACCAGAGCCTGGGCCAGCTCTGGAGGAAGAGGTCAGCCAGGGGCGAGCTTGGTGTTTTGCAATGTTTGCCTCTGCAAAGCCACAGCCTCACCAGCTCTGGGGGCCTGAACTCGAGCCCAGGGTCCTGGCAGCTCAGCCCCTGCCAGCTCAGGGGTGGAGGTCCCTGGCACCATCCTGCCCCATGGGCAGTGGTTTCCATGCAGGTGCCAAAGGAGCTTCCCTCTTGTTCCTTTCTGGCAGGAGGAAGGACCTCAGGACACCCCAGTGTCAGCCTCAAGGGAGGACCAAAGCTGCAGCCTGGCACGGCAGGAGGACAGGAGGTCACTCCCGACCCTCAGCCCCACAGCTCGGCTCCTGGTGGGGCAGATCAGCACAGCCCTGAGCCCTGTGGAGTGGCACCAGAGGAGGGGTGCAGGGAGGTGACCTCAGAGCCTGATCAGGACAGTGGGAACAGGACACCCACGGGCCATCAGCAGAGCCCTACAAGGGCTGGGGACCAGCTCACCTCAGGGAGCTGTGAGCCCCCCTGTGCTGTGCCCAGCGTGGCTGGCAGTGCCCAGTCTGCAGGAGTCCCAGTGGCCACCAAGACCCTCCCCAGCCCAAGCCCCACCAGGAGCTCCAGCAGTCAGAACGTTTCCTTGCCCACCAGGGATGCCAGGACAGGGAATGGCAGGCCCGTCCTGTCCCCCAGCAGCACCCAGCCTGAGGCCACCAGGACTGATGTGCCCCAGACACCCCCAGGGCCTGGGGCTGGTGCCAGCCCTGCTGCCCCAGCCCCACTGAGTGAGGTTGGTGCCAGCCCTGGTCCCATGGCACCAGTGACCCCAGAGGAGGCTGGGCCTGGCCCCATGGCACCGCTGCCCCCCAAGGAGGCCACAACCAGCTCCCCAGCACAGGTGACCCCAGAGGAGCCCAGGACCAGCCCCATGACCCCCAAAGATGCCAGGACCAGCCCCACAGCAAAGATGACCCCAGAGGAGGCCAGGACCAGTCCCATGGCACCTGTGACCCCAGAGAAGGCTGAGTCTGGCCCCATGACCTCCACGGAGGCCGGGACCAGCCCCACAACCCAGGTGACCCCAGAAGAGGCCAGGACCAGCCCCCCATCCCAGGTGACCCCAGAGAAGGCCAGGACCAGCCCCCCATCCCAGGTGACCCCAGAGGAGGCCAGGACCATCCCCACAGCCCAGATAACCCCAGAGAAGGCTGAGTCTGACCCCATGACTCCCAAAAAGGCCGGGACCAGCCCCCCATCCCAGGTGACCCCAGAGGAGGCCAGGACCAGCCTCACGGCACCGATGACCCCAGAAGAGGCTGAGTCTGACCCCATGGCACCGATGATCCCAAAGGAGGCCAGAGCCAACCCCACAGCACCCCTGAGCCCAGAGGAGGCCGTGTCCAGCCCTACGGCACCCCTGAGCCTGGAGGAGGTGCGGATGCTGGTGGAGCTCTTCTACCTGCCCTACCACCACGGGGCTCTGGCCCAGGAACTCCTGGAGCACTTTCGGTGGCTGCGAGCAAACAGCCTCAGCGTGGGGGTCCCGGCCACGGCGCCTGATGCCTGCGGGGTAAGGCAGCTCCTGGTAGGTGGCTGCGGTGGCTCGAGTGTCCCCCGGGTGGCTGAGAGGCGGTGTGTCCCCAGGGCAGGCGGTGGCGGGGCCGGGCTCAGTCCTTCCAGCTGCTCTGCGCACGGACGTGCCGCCTGCACAGCCGCTTGGTCAGCACGGCCAGCAGGGAGCTGCTCTACGACCTGCACCCCTACCTCTGGGACATCCGCAACATGCTGCTGGCCGCCGGTGCCTTCGTCCTGTGGCTGGGTACGTGGCTGATGCCAGCCCCTGCCAGCCCCTGCCAGACCCTGCCAGCCCCTGCCAGCCCTGCCAGCCCCCAGCACGCCTCTCCAAACGCGGCTGTGTCAGAGCTGCAGCACCGGGGCACACCTGATGCTCGCCCTCTTCCCCAAGGAGGAGGTGAAGGTGTCTGGGAGCTGTCCCGGAGGTGTGGGGTTCTGGTAGGGCCAGGGTCCCTTCAAAAGTGTCCCTTTGACGCTTTTGCTGCTGCTGCCTCGTGTCCCGTGCTCACCACCTCGCCTCCTTTGCAGATGGTCACCTCCTGTGCGACCCTGACCCCAAGGGCACCTGGGGGAGCTGCTTTGGCTGTAAGTATGGGCACTGCCCTGGCTCACCCTCCTGGCTGCTGCCCCCCGTCACCTCCAGCCCCACAGCAGCAGCCAGAGCTCGCCACCTGTGGCCTTCACATTCTCTGAACAGAGAGAAAGGTAATTCTCTCTCACACAGCTTTTTTCCTGGAGAAGCACAGAGAGAATTATATCTCTCTCTGTTCAGAGAATGTGAATGCCACAGCCACCAGGCCGCCCTTCCCCACACTCTGCCTGCAGGAATGGCCCTGGGAGTGCTGCCAGGGTGGGAGCAGATCTTCACCATATCTCACAGCCATTTCTAGGATATGGTTCCTCAGCCCTTTTATCCCAAAGACCCCTTAGCCTTGTGGAAAAAGGGTTCTGGAAGGAGTAATGCCCTGGGTGAGAGGTAGGGCTGTGTTTTGAATGCCTGTGCATCACTTTGCACAGTTTTCCTCTGGTTTAGGGCCCCCTGGTTGCTCTGTGGGCCCTGTGACCTCTTACAAACCAAGAACTGCTACCAGCTGATGACCTGAGCAGGTTTCCAAGTTCAGTGCGAGAGGGAGCCGTGTGCCTTGAGCCCCTTCCTTAGGGAATCAGCATTCAGGGCACATTCTCACCATCCTGGGCTGCACAGCTGGGGAGCAGCTCCTTGGAGCTGTGACAGAAGCTGATCTCCCCCTGCCCAGCAGCTTTTCGTTCACCTCACGCGTGTCTGTGTCCTGCTGCTTCCAGGGTGCCAGAGCATCACTGCCCCCATGCTGCTGGGGAGGGACGCCGAGCCCTGGGCGCGCCGTGGGGGCCTCGTTGGGGAGCTGCAGGTGAGAGTGTGTCCCTCCCTCGCCGTGGGGCTGAAGGAACATTTGGGAAGCCAGCATCCCAACCCTTCTGCCAAGCTGCTGCAAACTTGGGAAGGCAGAGCTGACCCTGCACCACAGCTGCGGTTCCTGGCGTTTCAGCAGTCTCAAAGCCATTCTCCTGCTGCCTCCAGGATGAGGTTTGGAGCCAGGATGAGCTGAAGGACTGTTTCTCTTCCAGGCACTGCTGCCCGTGGGGAACAGCTGTGACCTCTTCTACCATCCACCCCCGCTCTTCCCGTCCAGCCAGCTGTACCTGCTGCGCCCGCTGCTGCCCCTGGATAAGGTGGGAGCCATGGCATGGAGGGGGGGTCCTGCCAGAGCCTTTGCGTGGCTTGTGCTGCCCATAAAATGATGAGTGCCAGGTTCATCTGCTGCTGAGCCCAGGCTGAGATCCCAGTGTGGGGTGACACAAGTGGGGAGGGTCCTTGTGGCCAGCTCTGCTCAGAGACAGCTGCCTGGGGAAGCTGTTGGGAGTGTGGTCAGCAGCGTGTCAGATCCTGGCCTGGAGAATGTGCTGTGGCCTCAGCAAACCCACCTCTCTGTGACAGGGCAGAGCAGGAGAGGGAACCCCCTGAGCCACGGATAAACCAGCGCCAGGGCAGGGTTTCCAGGTTGTGGGTGATCTCCAGAGCATCCCCAGTGCTGATCTCCAGGAAAAATCCAGAACAGGACAAGTGTGGATGGCAACTTCCTGCAGCCTTCCCCAGTCTGCAGCTCTGGGCACTGCCAGAGCCTGTGGGGATCCATCTGCAAATCCCTTCCTCAAACACTCACCCAGTTTATGGGGTGATTCCCTGCTGGAGAGCAGCAGTTTCTGTCAGCTGTGACCTGCTTGGCGCCAGCTCTGCTCTGCCATCCCTTGATGGGACTGGGAGGGAAAGGGAGAATCTGGATATGGAGGGACAAAATGCTCAAGGTTTCCCATGTACCTGCAGCGAGCACCCCTGTCCCTCACCCTGCTCCTCTCCAGCTCAAGGAAAGGCTAACACCACAAATCCAGCCAGCACAGACACGAGTGCAGCTCGTCTGCTCAGGCTGAACCTTGGCAACAACAATGCTGAGAGGAAGAGCCAGCTGAGCCCATCGGCCCGTTGCAGGAACCGGCACAGCAGGGCACGGTCCTGCCCCTGCTTTTGGGTGATCAGGGCAGCCTCCCCTTTCAGGAGCAAGGCTTTTATCAGAATGTTTGCAGCAGCAAACTCAACTGTGACCAGGACATTTGGGGATGTCCTGCTGTGCTCAGGCTCTCTGGAGATCTCAGTTTCAGGGTTGTTTTGGTGCCGTTCTGGCTGCTCTGAGCGGGCTCCAGCAGCTGCTCTCGGGATGCCTGACCAGAATGGCAATTTCTGGTTTGAAGGCTGCCTGTGCTGTGGCCATGAGCCCGAGGCCAGCAGAAGGTGGTGGCTGGCACCGTGGCAGTGCAGGTGCAGCCAGGGCTGACACGGATCCGGCTCTTCCAGGGAGAGCTTTACCGCATGTGCCGGGAGAGTTTGGACTGTGATCCCAAAGTGGCAGAGATCCTCGTGGCCCACCCGGATCTCCTCGGTGACAGGTGAGATGTGGCCCCTCTGAGGCTCCCTCCTGGACATGGTGCAGGGCTGGGGAGTGAGGAGATGGCCTCTCTTGGCATCCCTGTGGGGACCAGCGCTCTCTCACGGCTGCCAGTGTCCTCACTGGGAGGGACAGGGAGGGACATCTCCATGCTGATGTCCACCAGGGTCATGGCAGCCACCGTTGAGGATGTCCAGCCTGGATGCTGGAGGCTGCAACGGCTCCCCTTGGCTGAAGGTCTCAAAGGGGTGGTCAGAGGGTGCTGGGTGTGCTGTCCAGCTGGGGAATGAAGAGGGAGGCTGCTCTGAGGTTTCCCAGGGGCTGCAGGCTCAGCTCAGCCCTGCTCCCGCTCTGCCTGGCAGGCTCCTGGGCAGCTTCCTCAGCCTGAGCCCGGAGTACACCTTTGTGCTGGAGGATGAGGATGGCCCCTGTGGCTACGCAGCCGGAGCGCTCCACGCCGAAGGCTTCCTGCAGCAGCGAGACAGCAGCTGGCTGCCGGCCATCCGGCACAAGTACCCCCCAGAGCTGGGCACAGCGGGGCCAGCTCTGGGACAGGTGAGGGCACACCTGCAGCACAGGGACAGGAGAGGTGGAGGGCGTTCCCTCACTGTGCTTGTCTCCCGCAGGATGCCCTGGAGGAAGCAGTGCTCTTCTTCCACTCAGAGCCACTGGCAGTGCCCCAGCCCGTGCTGAGGCGCTTCCCCTCCCTGGTACAGCTGGGCACAGCCCCCCGTGTGCTGGATGTGGGGGCCAGCCGCAGCCTGGCCCTCTGCCTGCTGAGTGCACTCAGAGCCAATGGTGAGCATGACCTCGGAGTGCTGCCCTTCATCCAAGGGCTCCTCACCCACCAGAGCCGGGAGCTGTCCCCTCCCCTTGCACTGGGGACATGTGGGCCTGTGTCTCAGGGCATCACGCTGTGGCAAAGGGGCAGGGGAGACACCGATCCCCTTATGGAGGGGGTCCCTGTCACTGTGCCCCCCGACCCAGTGCCCTGAGCTCTCGCCTCCCTTCCAGGCTCACGGGGAGTGTTCTGCCAGGTCAGCGACGCCGACCGGCAGCAGCTGAGCTTCTACAGCAAGCTGGGCTTTGTCGCCCTGCCGGTGGCCTGGGGCAGCTCTCCCGGCTCTCAGCTCCTGGGACGTCTCCTCTGATGGGGCACAGGGAGGCAGTGCCCCAGGCCAGGCTGGTTCCCGGGCCGGGCTGAACCCCCCATCCCACACAGCATTGGCCTGAGCAAGCGGGAGCAGCGGGGCACCTCGAGCAGGCCAGGTACACGTGAGAGGGGACATGGGGGCAGGCAGGATGTCACTGGGATGTGTGCAGGGCTGTCAGATACCTGGGTAGCAGAGAGATATTGCTGCTACTGAGGGGATTCGGCCACCTCTGTGCCACCCCAGCTGCTGCTGTTTGCTGGGTGCCCAGGCCAGCAGAGCCTCAGGCCTGCAGGAGCTCGTGAGCAGCGTTTGGGTTTGTGATCCTGGGGCACAGCACGGTGCCTTCGTGCCACAAGAGTGTCCCCATCACGCAGGCTGGGCTGCCCAGCTCTCTCCATCCCCTGTGTGGCCTGAGACTGGGTGGTCAGTGCTGGGGCTGGCCCTCGGCACTGAAGATCTGCTTGTCTGTATGGATTGATATGGGATGCGGTGAGGCAGCCTCTGTTTTTGTGCCTGGGGCCTGAGGGAAGCGCTGTCCTTGGCAATAAAGCGTTTGCTGGGCTCTCACCATGGCTCGTTTCTTGGGGGAAAGTGTTGGGGTGCTAGCACATCCCTCTCACACCCTCAAACGCTCTCACACATCTCACACCGGCTCTTACAGTCGGTCTTGTGTCCCCTCACACAAAGCAGCTCCCCACACATCCCAGCCTCCATGCTCACAGCCCCAGCCCTGGAGGGCTTTCCTGCAGGATGGGACCCTCGGGCTCGGGGGGTCTGGGGGCCACAGCCTGCCCAGCACAGGCAGGATGACCAAGGGGGGGATCTGTCCATCCCCCCCACTGCAGCCTCTGCCAAGGGGCACCCAGGGCGAACCATTCCTGCCCGTTTCCCTCTCCTGCCCCTCGGAGCCGGCTGCCCACGGGTGAAGCGAGGGTTGGGTGGGGGTCGGGACGGCCGAAACCCCGGCAGCGGGGCTCGGCTGGCGGCTCCCCGCGGCCTCAGGAGCGGCCGGGCCGCTCCGTCCCGGGGGTCTGGGGCCGGCCCTGGAGCCGAGCCGGGCACGGCCACGGGCACGGCGCGGGGCGGGCCGGGGCGGAGCGCGGCGGCACCGACCGAAATTGCTCGGCTCGGCACGGCAGGACACGGTACGGCACTGCACGGCTCGGCACGGCTCAGTTCGGTACGGCACTGCACGGCTCGGCACGGCGCTGCAGAACTCGGTACGGCTCGGTTCGGCTCGGTTCGGCACGGCACGGTTCGGCTCCGTTCGGCACCCCGGTGATACCGCGCGGGGCCCGGCTGTCCCGGGAGCGGCGGGGGCTGCGCCTTGCGGGGCCGGGGCGCCTCGGGGGTGTCCCGGGTGCGGGGGCGATGCCGTGCCGTGCCGTGCCGGGGCTGCCGTGCAGCGGGACCGGGGCGGGCAGCGCGGGTGTCCCACGGGAAGCGGAGCCCGGCGGGTTTTGGGGTGTACCGCACCCCAAAGCGTGCGAGCAGCGGGTTACACAGGGCTCCCCGTGTAACTCAGGGTTTCCATGAGGACCGGACATGCTGCAGCTCATGGAAGAGGGAGGATGGATGGAGGGATGTGGGACGGGAGGGCTGGCGGCGCTGGAAGGGATGACTTTTCTCCTTCCCGGCTGCTCTCAGAGGAGCCCGCAGCCGAGCCGGTCCCGTCTCCAGCAGGTCCAGGAAGGCTGGCTCCGTGCTCCAGGGTGCCTGGGACACCAGCCCCACAGCCCCCTGCCCGCCCTCTGCCCCTGGGGATGGCCGATGTTTGCGCATTCCTCCGAGGTCTTCCCCTCCTGCCGGCAGCCGGTTCCTCCCGGGGCTGCCGAGCCCGGGCAGCTCCGAGCAGAGCGGGCAGGGCTGTGCTGAGGGCCCTGCTGTGTCCTGCGGAGGCTGCCTGGGGCTGGGAGCTGCCAGGAGCTGTGCTGTGACCTGCCCTGGCTTAGGGGGTGACAGCAGGACATGGGGACAACAGGTAGCCCAAAGGGCTGACAACCTGGAGTTGTCAGAGGAGGGGAAAGGGGAAGGGCAGCCCCGGTCCCACAGAGTGTTTTGTCCCTGCTGGCACCCCGAGTGTCCGTGCTGCAGCAGGGTCCCTGTCCTTGCCTGGGATGGGGCACACAGTGGTGGCAGGGGTGGGCAGAGAAGGACAGTGAGCTCCCAGCCCTGCAGTTTTGGGAGTGACACCAGTCCTGCCAGGGAATCCAGATTCCTATGGTGACCCTGGGCTGCTTCCTGCTGCTTCTGCAACCAGTTTGTGGAACCATGTGCCCTTCCAGACCCTGGTGGTGCTTACCCCGGAGCTCTGACCCGTGTCAGATCCCCTCCTGAGCAGGGTGGGGGTGTTGGGGCTCCCCTGCTTGAAGCACGTTTGCTCCCGGCTCTCCAGGGCTGCCGGGAATTGGGAAAAGCGGAGAAGGCGGGATTGCGAAAGGGCTGAGTGTGAGGGGGCCCTGGGGAGAAGGGGAGGGATGGAGCCCTGGAGCCATGGGACTCACCAGACCTTCTCCTACTCCGACTGCTGGGGACGTGACCCCGTGCTCTCAGGGATGTCCTGGCATGGGACATCAACAGGGAGTGACTGTGTCACCCCTTAACCTCCTGAAGGAAGGATAAACAGAGCGAGCTTCCTCTCCCTTGTGCTGGCGGCTTTCCCAGGTCTCTTGTGCTGCTCTTCTCTGAGTCCTCCCAGTTGTCAGTGCCTGGGATGCTCCATGTCCCCCGTGGGTGTGTCCAAGGCTGCTGCTGAGCCAGCACGTCCCTCAAGAGCCTCGGTGGCCTGGCCATGCTGCTGTGGCTTGGGATGTCATCCCTGCACTGATCAAACACACGGACTTACCCAAGGACCTGCCTCACCAGGAGCTCTGTTGGCTGTTCCCTGGGGTTTTGGTGGGGCACACTGATGTCCTGCTGTACGCCCAGTGACTGCTGAAGGACACACATGATTTGGACAGTCCTGGGTCCCGGGGCACCCCCACCAGCACAGCTGACCCCTCTGGAAGGGACAGCCCCTGTGCAAGATGCAGGGCACTGATGGGGACAGTGCCTGGCTGTAAGTCACCTGTCAGGGTGACTCTGTCCGCTGATCCATCACCCACTGGGACAAGCAGAGCCAGTGGGCTGGCACGGGAGCAGTTGGAGCAGTGTCATGGCTCCTGCTGCCACGTGGGGCTGTCCCCTGTCCTGAAGGGTGCTCTCACCCACGCCAGCCTCAGCAGAGCAGGGCTGAGGCTGAGGACTGGAGGAGCCCCAGGATTTTGCCTCCTCAGTACTCTCAGACGCCCCACCACCAGTGCCAGCTGCGCTGCAGGCTGGGATGTGGCTCAGGGCCTCGTGCACACCCGGCTGGGACATTCCTGAGGTTTCCTGGGCAGTGGCAAGAACCTGGGCTGCTTCCCGGCTCCCACGCCCAGCGCTTGCTCCAGCCAGCCCGTCCTCCAGAGCCCTTTACCCTCACAGTGAAGTTCTGCTGAGCATCTGTGCCTGGGGCAGCACATCCACAGTGCCACAAGCACATCCAGAGGGCCACAAGCACATCCAGAGGGCCACAAGCCCTGGTCCAAGAGGAGATTGTCCCAGGCTGGAGCTGACAGCAGGACGGTTGGGATGCTGGGGTGGGCTGCCCATTCAGAGCAAAGCCTGTGAGCAGCAGAGCAGCAGGAGAGGAGCAAACACACAACTTGTGCCTCAGAGAACGGAAAAAGTGATGTGCACAATGAGAGCCCTGTTAGCCTGGCTGCCCAGGACATGGACACGGGCACGCAGCGTGTGCGGGGAGGGAGGTGGTGCAGGAACGGGCACGGAGCCGTGCTGTGCTGCAGGGAGCTCACATGGCAGCTCTCCTGGGCTGGCCCTGGAAAAGGCTTTGGCCCCACACAGCTCAGCTGGGAAGGTCACTGGGAAACTCTGAGGCGAGTGGCAGAGCTGAGGAAGCACAGTGGGATGAGAGATGCTGGAGCAGAGCTGAAGCAGGACCCAGGAGCAGGGATTACAGACCCTGGAGCTCACGCTGCTGAGGCTTGGAGGGGGATCAGTGATTCGCTGAGCAAAGCCCAAGCACTTTTCAGGTGCCATGTGTTCTGGTCCTCTGTTTTGTTTCTCAGTGCACAGATTTTAATTTTCCTTGTAGCCAAGGATGTAGGCTGCACCATGCTGATTTCCCAGGCTGTCCCTGTTCCCATCTCTGATTCCCCCATTTCTGTCTCTGCAGCCTGTACCAGGAAGGTACTTTTTCCTCCTCCTGGCACAGTTTTGCTTTGAAAAGCATGTGATCCTGACCAGAAAGCCCACGGAGTGGTCACTTCCCCACGTAACCACATTTTAGTTCCAGCAGGTGACCAGTTTTAATCCACTTAGCAGAAGGTGCACTGATTTTGTTGAGTGCCAATTCATCAAAAGGTGGTGCAAGATGAATCGAATGCCTTCCAGTCTCAGCCTGTTATATCAACACAGTTACTCCAATTAACAGGACCTGTGATCTCATAAAAGGCCATTCCCACTTCCTGCCACGGGCTATTTCTGCCAGACCGTGGAGATTGGCATTAATTGTGTCCTTTAGGGTTGTACTGACCCCGTTGTGAAAGTGCCCAGTTCCGCAGCAGAGCATCCTGCTCGCTCAGGAGCGCTGGGGAAGCTCCAATCCTTGTGCATTCCTAAGGAAACACAGCCCAAGTTAGCACTGAGGGGGCTCACATTTGTGTGTCAGGACAGCTCTGAGGATTTACAGCCCTTCATCTGGGCAGGACAATGTCCCCTCGTTGTCCCAGTGGAATAAGAAGTTTTGTTCCTGCTGTGGGATGGCAAACTCATCCCTTCTCTGCTTCCCAGGCAGTGTGGAGATGAGGATGGAGAATTCCCATTCCAAGCCCAGAAATCCCCTTTCCTGAGCCACTGGCAGGGCTGGGGTAGCCCTTTGCACCCTCCCTCCCTTCCTGCTGGCCGGGTAAAAGGTTCAGCAGAGCATTTCCCCTCTCTCTGCCCACAAACACACATCCTGCCGGGCTCTGGCAGTGCCAGAGGAGGCAGCTGAGGCACCAGGAGCCCAGAGCTGGCTCCCACCACCCCCAGCTGCCTGGGCCATGTCCCCAGCAGCTCTGTGGTGTCCCCTGTCCCCCAGCTGTGATAGAGGAGAGAGCCAGACCCACGCTGGTGTGGTTGCTCCGAGGGAGGTGATGTGCTTCACAGAATTACAGGGGCTGGAAAAGACCTCCAAGGTCATCGAGTCCAACCTGTGACCCATCCCCACCTTGTCAGCCAGACCAGGGCACTGAGTGCCACTTCCAGTCATTGCCACCCCTGTGCCTGCTGTGGAACTGGAGCAGCAGTGCTGGTCCTTGTTACTCCTCGCTCTTCCCGAGCATCTCTGCAGGCACCAGGCTCTTCCCGAGGCTCTCACTGCTCCTGGTGGCACCTCCAATGTCACATGTGCCCAAAGGGGCGGGCAGGCAGCAGGGCTGGGCCCTGTGGAGGCTTCTGTTGGTGTTTTGGGTGTGGCAAAGGGGCTGGCACTGGGCACCATCCTGGTTCATCCTTGCCTTGACCCAGGAGGCATTCTGCAGAGGCTGGAGCAGGTCCTCATCACCTGGAACAGTGAACCAAGCAGGAATGGGGCTGATTCCTTTGTGAAAACCTTGCCCCTGAGGCTGGTGGGGAGGTGGAGCAGCTGTGCCAGCCCCCAGCTCTGCGTGGGGTTTGAATTTGTTTCCCTTTCTCTGTGACACTGAGCTAAATACGGGAATTTTAAATCACCCCAGGAAAGCCAAAACTTGTTATTTTAATGTTTTCTAATGGCAAGCACAGTCTGTGTGAGTGCAGCAGACAGGATCTGTGCTTAGGGGGACTTGGAGACAGAAATATCCTGCTGGGGGGCTGCCCTGGGGGTGTTTTGGGGGAATGCTTTCCCATCCTGGAAGGGACTGGCAGTGGACAGCAAGGTGGGCATGGGCAAGCAAGGGTCGGAGCTTGTCAACACCCCCCGTGCAGAAATGCTGCTCCTGAGCTACAGGATCCATGGGAATAGCACACTGGGAAGGGAGGGCAGCTCACAGAGAAGGGTTTTCACTATTGTTTGCTGTGGGACTGGTACAGGAATACCACATCTCCCTCAGGTATTCGGGGAGCCACAAATATTGTCAGAGGAATGTGAATGCTCCGGCTGCCTCTCTCGTCATGGAAGGGAGGGCAGGAGCGTGGGCTGGAATCCCCTCAGCCAGCAGCCATTCCCTGCTCCTGCTGGATCGAGCTCCTGGCTGCTCCAGCTGGGCTTTCCCTGTGCCCTGAGCCTGTGCCAGCTCCCTCAGCTCTGGCAGCTCATCCCCTCCTTCCATTCACCTCTCCTGTGCCCATCTGCCCTCACTGCCCTTCAGATGTGACCAGCCAGCGCAGTGGGGGCTCAGTAAGGGCTGTTGGCAGAGGGGGACAGGGGACAGGGGCACTGGCCAGGTCCCTGACAGCCCCAAGGGCGCAGGAGCTGTGTGTTAGGGGCACTCTGGCCAGGCACATGGCTGTGCCCGTGCTGGGCAGGGGGTTTAACCAGCACAGAGCTGGGCAGGGGGGCTGGATGCGGGGTGCTGGATGGGGGTACTGGTGTTCCAGCACAACCCCGACCCTGTCTGCCCCTGCAGGGCCACGCTGCCATGGGAGGCTGCGGCACGCGGGCATGGCCGGAGCTGCTGGTGCTGCTGGGCAGCGCGTGGCTGTGGGTGGGCAGTGCCCAGCCCACCCCCCCGGGCCCCACGCAGCCCCCCGGGCCCCAGCTGAGGTTCCGCCTGGCCGGGTACCCCCGCAAGCACAACGAGGGCCGCGTGGAGGTCTTCTACAACGACGAGTGGGGCACCGTCTGCGACGACGACTTCACGCTGGGCAACGCGCACGTGCTGTGCCGGCACCTCGGCTTCGTGGGCGCCGCCGGCTGGGCCCACAGCGCCAAGTACGGCAAAGGAGTCGGTAAGAGAGGGGTGGTGGGCACAGCACCCCCCTGGCACAGCCCCCACACGGCTGCAAGGGGCGGGATGTGTGTTTGCGGAGCGCCCGGCAGTGGTTGTGTGCTCAGGTGTGTGCGTGGGGGAGCTCTCTGTGGGGTTGTGTGCTCAGGTGTGCACACATGGGAGCTTTCTGTGGGATTGTGTGCACTTATGGGAGCTTTCTGTGTGATTCTGTGCACTTACGGGAGCTTTCTGTGTGATTCTGTGCACTTATGGGAACATTCTGTGTGATTATGTGCTCAGTTGTGTGCGTGGGGGAGCTTTCTGTGTGATTCTGTGCACATATGTGAGCTTTCTCTGTGATTGTGTGCACACATGGGAGCTTTCTGTGGGATTGTGTGCACATATGTGAGCTTTCTGTGTGATTGTGTGCACACAGAGGAGCTTTCTGTGTGATTCTGTGCACTTATGGGAGCTTTCTGTGGGATTGTGTGCTCAGGTGTGCACACATGGGAGCTTTCTGTGTGATTGTGTGCACTTATGGGAACATTCTGTGTGATTATGTGCTCAGGTGTGCCCGTGGGGGAGCTTTCTGTGGTGTTGTGTGCTCAGGTGTGCACATACGTGAGCTTTCTGTGTGATTCTGTGCACTTATGGGAACATTCTGTGTGATTATGTACTCAGGTGTGCCCGTGGGGGAGCTTTCTGTGGGGTTGTGTGCTCAGGTGTGCACATACGTGAGCTTTCTGTGTGATTCTGTGCACTTATGGGAACATTCTGTGTGATTATGTACTCAGGTGTGCCCGTGGGGGAGCTTTCTGTGGGGTTGTGTGCTCAGGTGTGCACATACGTGAGCTTTCTGTGTGATTCTGTGCACTTACGGGAGCTTTCTGTGGGATTCTGTGCTCAGGTGTGCACGTGTGGGAGTTTTCTGTGCGATTGTGTGCTCAGTTGTTCACACGTGGGAGCTTTCTGTGGGATTCTGTGCTCAGGTGTGCACACGTGGGAGCTTTCTGATTCTCTGCACTTACGGGAGCTTTCTGTGGGATTCTGTGTGTGTGATTGTGTGCTCATGTGTGCACATATGTGAGCTTTCTGTGTGATTCTCTGCACTTACGGGAGCTTTCTGTGGGATTCTGTGCTCAGGTGTGCACACGTGGGAGCTTTCTGTGTGTCAGAGCAGCCCCTTGGGGAGCTGGAGGCCCCCCATCTGCAGACCCCCACCCAGAACTATTGTAAATTCAGGCGACCCTAACGAGGGGAGAGATGATGCATCTGACTCCATCTTATCAGAAGGATAATTTATTACTTTATTATACTATATTATATTAAAGAACACTATACTATACCATACTAAAGAATACAGAAAAGATGCTTACTCAATGCTAAAAAGATAATTATGAAAACTCGTGACTCTCTCCAGAGTCTGACCCAGCCTGGCCCTGATTGGCCAAAGTGTGAAAACAACTCACAGCAGAATCCAGTGAAACAATCACCTGTGGGTGAACAATCTCCAAACACATTCCCCATGAGCACAACACAGGAGAAGCAAATGAGATAAGAATTGTTTTCCTTTTCTCTGAGGACTCTCGCTGCCTTTCAGCTTCCCAGGAGAAAAACCCTGGGTGAAGAAATCACATTCAGGGAATGTGAATGCCACACAGATCTTTACTCCTGGCATTTCACTGGCCTCAGCTTTGTGCTGCAGCTCCTGCTGTAACCTGTGTGATCCCCATGCCCTGTGGGCACTTTCCCTGCTCCCAGGGGATGCTTGGCTCCCCCTCACCCCCGGGCTGTGTCTGGCAGGGCGGATCTGGCTGGACAATGTGAACTGTGCTGGAAACGAGAAGGACATCAGGGACTGCAAACACCGGGGCTGGGGGAACAGCGACTGCAGCCACGAGGAGGATGCAGGTGTGGTCTGCAAGGATGAACGCATTCCAGGCTTCAAGGACTCCAACGTCATCGAGGTGAGGAGGCTGCTGGCCACAGCGGGCAGCTGGTGACATCCAGGATGCCACAGAGCACCCTGGGTGTGGGGCGGTCTGGGACTTGCCCTGGGGGTGCAGGAAGCACTGGCTTTCCTGGTTGTGCTCCCTGGAGATGCACCTGGGGACCCAAGGGGACAAGAGGCACTGAGCTGTCTGCATGAGGTTCAATCCTTGGCTGCCCAGGGCCATCAGATGTGGCCAGCAGGAATGCAGGACTGGCTCTGGCTGTCCCTGTGCCCCGCCTGTGACCGGGGACCCTTTTCCTTCATCCTTGGAGACTCCCTGGGAGCGGGCTGGCAGGAGGAGGGGCGGTGGGATGGGAGGTGAGCTGGGGCTGACCTGATGCCCGCAGACCGAGCAGAGCCACATGGAGGAGGTGCGGCTGCGGCCGGTGGTGCACGGGGGGCGGCGGCAGCAGCTGCCGGTGACAGAGGGCATCGTGGAGGTGCGCTACAAGGACAGCTGGGCACAGATCTGCGACCAGGGCTGGGACAGCCACAACAGCCGCGTCGTCTGCGGCATGATGGGCTTCCCGGCAGAGAAGAAAGTCAACAGGAACTTCTACAGGTGAGTGTGGCCGGCAGGGAGCCCGCAGGGGTGGGGCGTCCAAGCAGGGCTGGGGTGGTGCCAGGGGGACAGCAGAGGCTGTGCTGTTGGGTGTTGTGGCTCCTAAAATCTCTCCCACCCTGCTGCTCACCAGTCCAAGCCCCAGCTGGCCGTCTGGACACTTGCTAACCGAGCTGGGGGGGTGGGGGGTAGTTGGGAGGCTGTGTCCCCCTGCCACACACACTGCAGCAAGGCTGCTCCAAGGGGAGCACCTTTGCTCCCTGGCAGTGCTGTCCCCAGCCTCAGGGGACGTTTGCAGCCATCAGGGGATGCTGCAGCCACACCGTGGGCTGAGTGAGGGGCATGGACACGCCGTGCCTGGCACTGGGTGTGCCCTGAGCAGGCAGATCTGGTGTTGCTCCACAGGCGGCTGAGGCGAGCAGCCAGGACGAGGGGCCACAGCCCGAGGCTGGGCAGCAGGTAAGGGGCCAGGGCCCCATCTGCTGAGCCGTGGCAGAGCTGGGCTGTCCAGCCCCACCAGCTGGCAGAATGGATCTGGGCACAAATAGATCCAGACAGAGCAGACTGAAGGCTTGGGCTGCGCTGGCCCAGTAGGACAAACCCCACCCCAGGGGACCTGCCTGTGCATGCTGGGGTCCCCCATTCCCCACGAGAGACGATCTCTCTCCCAGGCTGGTCGTGCTCCAGGCAGAGCAGCCCTGTCCTGCACAGCAGGCAGGAGTCCTGGCACCCTGGAGGGCAGCAGGAGGCCTCGGAGCAGAGCTGTCTCTCCTGGTGGATGGGGAGGAAGGACTGTGGAAATGGGCTGCTTTCTGCAGAAAGCAGCACTGGGGATGCTGGAAAGGCTGTGCACCCCTCCATTCCCTGCAGGATGGGCTGGCATGGGCACCAGAGTCCGTGCTCAGCAGTGCTGATGGGCACAGTGTGGCAGATGAGTGCCACATCTGCTTGGGGTCTGCCCACTCATCCTCTGCCTACTCATTCTTGCTGCCTTTCTGCCAGGCCCAGGGGATGGTCTGGCTGCCTTTTCCCTCCATCCCTGAATCCTGCTGCTGGATCTCGTGGTGGATACAGTGAGCCAGAGCCCATCCTCTCTGGGCTGGGGTGTGGCACCTCTTTCCTGAGCCTGCTGCCATGATGTTCTACCCCCAGCATGGGGCCATGCCCCAGTCCCAGCTGGTGCTGAATGAGCTCTACACCCACTGTGAGCTCTTCATTGTGACACTCCCAGGTCTGTGTCCCCTGCAGCCATCCTTGCCAGCTCCTGCAGCTGGTGATGGGAATTCAGGCAGGGTCATCCCATGGGTTTCCTCAACTCCCTCCTGAAGGTCCTGGTTGCTCCAGTTTCCTGGCTGGTTTGGTGCTGAGTGCCCCTTTCCCAGTGAGCAGGTCCTTCCCCTGCAGCACTGGGGGAAATGGTTTGTGTCTCCATGAGGCTGCAGTCCTGTCCCTGTGCCCCGAGCAGGAATGGCTCCTGAGAGCCACACTGTTTTGTAGGGGCTGATCAGTTTGGGGCTGCACAGCCACGGTCATACGAAGGCACAGGCTAATCCAGGCTGGAAGGGACCTCTGGGAGTCCTGGTCCAACGGATACAGTGAGCCAGAGCCCATCCTCTCTGGGCTGGGGTGTGGCACCTCTTTCCTGAGCCTGCTGCCATGATGTTCTACCCCCAGCATGGGGCCATGCCCCAGTCCCAGCTGGTGCTGAATGAGCTCTACACCCACTGTGAGCTCTTCATTGTGACACTCCCAGGTCTGTGTCCCCTGCAGCCATCCTTGCCAGCTCCTGCAGCTGGTGATGGGAATTCAGGCAGGGTCATCCCATGGGTTTCCTCAACTCCTTCTGAAGGTCCTGGTTGCTCCTGGCTGGTTTGGTGCTGAGTGCCCCTTTCCCAGTGAGCAGGTCCTTCCCCTGCAGCACTGGGGGAAATGGTTTGTGTCTCCATGAGGCTGCAGTCCTGTCCCTGTGCCCCGAGCAGGAATGGCTCCTGAGAGCCACACTGTTTTGTAGGGGCTGATCAGTTTGGGGCTGCACAGCCACGGTCATACGAAGGCACAGGCTAATCCAGGCTGGAAGGGACCTCTGGGAGTCCTGGTCCAACTCCCTGGGTGGAGCAGAGCCAGCTGTGGGTTAAGCCCAGGACTTCATCCAGCTGGCTTTTGAAACCTTCCAAGGATGGAAATTCTGCAGCCCTGCGGTCTCTGCTCCAGTGTGGAACAGCCCTCATGGGCAAAAGGTTTTCCTTACCCTGAGCCTGAACATTTTGTTGTCAGTCATGCCTCTTTCCTCTGCTGCTCTTTCCTCCCTGCTGGAAGAGCCAGGATCCTCACAGCTCCCACCTCAGCCCTGGCTGGAACAGTCCCACACCCCCCCATCTCCTCCCACACCGCTGTCTTGCTGTTCTCCCTGGGGCTCACACCACATATGTGACATCTTCTTGTCCTGGGAGACCCAATCCAAGTACAGGATCCAGATGTGGTTTCCTGAGAGTGAGTGGGCACTGATGCCCTCTGTCTGTCTGAATCCCAGCCCTGTGCTGTGTCCTGGGGCTCGCTGGGCTGTGCAGGCTGACACCAACCTGTGCTGGCCTGCAGGGACAGTGGTCAGGCTTGGTTCTGCCTGGTCCCTGGGGCTGTCAGTCCCCTGCCCTCCTTTGGGCCACTCTGCTCTTCACTCCTTGTGGTCTCTGGGGTTTTGGCTCTGCTCAGCATCTTCCTCCCTGAGGGAAACAAGCATTTGAGGATGTTGGGATTGCACCTACACCTTGTGTGTGCTGGGCCCCTCATGGCTCAGCCTGTGCCAGGGCTGTTTCCCTCGCTGGCAGCAGGTCCTTGCCAGCCTGCAGCAAGTCCCACCGTGCCCCATGGCCCCAAGGCAAGCTCCCTGGGGCTGCCTGTGCTGCTTGCTTGGTGCTGCTTGCGGGGTGTCCTGCACCTTGGGGACACGGCACAGTGGTGGCATGGTATCTGGATGAGGACACAGCCACAGCCACACCTGACTGATCAAATGGTGGCTGCTGGTGTTTGATCTTTTGCTGTGTGACAAGGCAGAGCAGGATGTGGCTGCATCCAGCAGTTTCCTGGTGGGATGCATGCTGGAAACTGCATCATTGCTGAGGAGTGTGGCACACTGCTGGCAGCAGATGATGCTGTTGCACCCCTGTGTGACACAAAGGGGATGCACATGACTTTTCCTGGGGGCCAAGGTGCCCAGTTCAGCCTCCAGTGAATCCAGGGCAGGCTGTGCTCCCTGTGTCACTGCTGAGGGCAGAGGTGACAGCCTGACATCCCAGGCTTTGTGATGGTTGTTTTCTATTTTCCAGGCTGGCCTCCAAATCTCAGCCTAAACAAAAGCGCAGGGAGGACGTAGGGCCCAAGAAGAGGTAAATGGCTCAGTGGAGAGCCAGAGACAGGAGCCCAGTGCAGTCCCACCAGAGCTGTGCGTGTCCCCACGTGCGTCCCTGTCCTGCTGGGGGTGTGGGACAGGCAGCTGGCAAGGGGTGGGTGCCTGGCAGACATCACCCTGGGGACAGGGCAAGGGGCACAGCCAGCGCATGCACTGCAGGCAGGGTTGCTGGTGACACCTCCACTGCCACTGGCCGTGGCTCAGGGCTCCTCTCCCCTCACAGGCTCTTCACAGAGCGGCAGCAGCTCAACTACCGCCTGCACTCGGTGTCCTGCACGGGGACAGAGGTGCACCTGTCCATGTGCTCCTTCGAGTTCTACCGGGGCAACTCCTCGGCAGCCTGTGGCTCCGGCATGCCCGCCGTGGTCAGCTGCGTGCCCGGGCCCCTCTTCAACACTGGCGGTGCCCACAAGAAGAAACAGCGCCAGCAGCAGCAGCAGCAGGGCCAGGTGAGCCCCACAGGGAAGGGGACGAGCCCTGTGGTGACCCACAGCTGGACAGTGCCACGCTCTGTCCCCTGGGCTCTGCAGGTGTGTGGGTTGCTGGGTGACCAGCTCCAGTGTCTTGGTTTGGAAAGACAGGTGCCTGTTAAGGAAGGCAGGAGCCTCCCTGAGATGGAAAATGTAACCCCCCTCCTTCTGAATTGCTGTAAATTTGAAATTAAGGGGGCTCTCAGGCAACAAATATAGGGCAGGAAATAACAGTTCTGTAGAAAATAAAAGGATAAAATAAACAATGCAGTAAACTAAAACAACACTGACAGAGTCAGAACACAGCCTGACACCCTGTGGGTCAGGGTGGTGGCAGCAGTCCAGTTGGAATTGTAGCTGCAGCTCTCCTGGAGTGTCAGGTGTGGTTCTGTTGGAGCAGGGATCCTGTAGGAAAGGGTTTAGTGTTCTTCTGAAGATCCAGTGGAAGAGACAGCTGGTGTTCCTCTGGGAAATCCAGTGGAGAAGCTGTGTGGTATTTCCAGAATCACCAGATTATGTCCAGGGAGGAATTCTTGTCTCCTCCCTCTGGAGCATCTCCCAATGGATGCTGTAGCTCTTATCAGCCATGCAGTGACATTCCATAGCCTGTCATCAGCAGATGTCCCCCCCTCCGAGGGAGGAGTGGGTGTGGAAGAGACAAGGAAAACTGCCCACTTGGCAAAAGACATCTGCCACAGAGATGGCAAATAGAATACCTCTTGCCTTCCAACCTGGAACACCCAGAGCAGGAGGTGGGGACGGCGTCCTGCCCCTGCACATCCCAGCAGTCGCGGCCAGCGCTGTGTTGTGCCATCCCACACTGTCCCACGCTGTCCCTGCTCCCGCAGCCCCGGATCCGGCTGAAGGGCGGCGCCAGGGTCGGCGAGGGCCGCGTTGAGGTGCTCAGGAGCAGCGAGTGGGGCACCATCTGTGACGACCGCTGGAACCTGCAGTCGGCCAGCGTCGTGTGCCGCGAGCTGGGCTTCGGCAGCGCCAAGGAGGCCCTCACCGGGGCGCGCATGGGGCAAGGTGAGGCTGTCATCCTGTTGCCATTTGAAGCCTTTCACTGCGTTTGCCTTCCATGAAATACATTTTTGGCGAGGAAGTAAATGTAGGTGAGGAAGTAGCAAGGCAGACCTCGTTACTGTTCGAAGTGTGTTTTGATGAGGATTTTTTTTTAAATGCATACCCATGGCAACTTGGACGGAACAAGGGTCTCGTTACTGTTCAAAGTGTGTCTGGATGAGGATTTTTTTTAAATGCATACCCATGGCAACTTGGACGGAACAAGGGTATAAAATTCAAATACAATGGTTATGAACCATTGAAACCTGAGAAACAGGCAGAGAATATCTGAAAAATGTGATCCATGTTTCTGCATTCCTTCTGCTTTGTGAATAGTGACTTAAATATTGTATTGCCAGGGCAGAGGCACCATATTTATTACAGCAGGGGGTTCTTGGGGTCTCTCCGACCCCAGCTGCCGTAGGTGTCTGGATTGCAAAGCCTTGCTAAGCTCCACTTGTCCAGGTCCCTCAGGCAGGCTCCCAGCTGCAGGCAATCTTAGCAAGCAGCTCAGCTCTTAAGAGAGATCAGCTCTTTGGTGAATTCAGCTCCTAGTGATTTCAGCTCTTTGGTTGCTAAGTGCCTTGGCAGACACAGGAGAGAGAGAGGGGAGTTGTTTGTGGTTCCATTGTATTTGCAGGGACCCTCATGGCAGGGAGGAACGGTGAGTCTGACTCCATGTTCTCACAAGGCTAATGTATTACTTTATGATACTACATTATATTAAATAATACTAAACTAAACTATACTAAAGAGTAGAGAGAGGATACTTCCAGAGGGCTAAAAAGATAATAATGAAAATTCGTGACTCTCTCCAGAGTCTGACACAGCTTGGCACTAATTGGCCAAAAAGTGAAAACAACTCACAGCAGAATCCAGTGAAACAATCTCCAAACACATTCCCCATGAGCACAACACAGGAGAAGCAAATGAGATAAGAATTGTTTTCCTTTTTCTCTGAGGCTTCTCAGCTTCCCAGGAGAAAAATCCTGGGTGAAGGGAATTTTCAAAGAATGTGAATGTGACACGGTTCCACAGAGGTGTCTTTATTAGCAGCTTCTGTGAAGGGTGACAGTGACAGCTCTTCTGAACAGCACAGAAATGGGGGTTTATATAGGGTATGGGGGTTTTGGGAAACAGTCCAATAGTAAGGGTCGAGGTGAGAGTGACCTGTCATCTTACAGAGCGATAACAAAGGTCTGAAGGTGGAAGAGTGGCTTCTTTTGGTCCAGTCATCACGACTAGGCATTTCTTATCTTAGGCAGCTGACCTCCAAGGAGGCCTTGCAGGCCCTGTGGCTGCTGCAGCGCCGGGCATCCCCTCCTGGAGCTGTGGATGAGGCACTTACCCAGGCTTTGCTTGGCTGGGCTGTCCTGTGAGCACTGGGATGCATGTGGAGCATCCCAATGGGACCACTCAACCACACAGCCCCCGGCAGCAGCTGTGGAGGCTGGAGTATCCAGCTCCCTCAGACCCGCCAAAAAGAGAGGGCAGTGTTGGGAACAGGGTGGCCCTGAGCATCCCTGTGTCACAGGGCCCTGATTTCTGCTGTCCTCCGGCAGGGACGGGCCCCATCCACCTGAACGAGGTGCAGTGCCGGGGCACCGAGAAGTCCCTGTGGAGCTGCCCCTACAGGAACATCACACAGGAGGACTGCAAGCACACGGAGGACGCGGCTGTTCGCTGCAACGTCCCCTACATGGGCTACGAGAACCTGGTGCGCACCACGGGGGGCTGCTGGCTCCGAGGGGCTCCAGCAGTGGGAGCTCAGAGTGGGGTGCTGGGAAAGGCCCGCAGGATCCATGGGAGCCTCGTCTCTCCTCTGCACCCCACACGTTTTCCCCTGTCCTGGGAGCTCAGGGATTTTGTGGGTGGGAGCTCCTGTGAGGGGAGGTGTGGGGCAGCTGCTCCCTGCTGCTTTTCCTGCTGCCAGCCTGTGCCCGCTCCCCAGCAGAAACATCAGAAAAAAAATCACTGTGGGACAACCAAGAGAGATTTTTTTCTTTTTAACCTGTGATGAAACAAGCAAATGGAGCCACTTGTTCCTGTTTGCCCAACCCATCGTTTCATCCACTTTGAGCTTCTTTAATGATCTTTAACTCTCTCACACCTGTCATTTCTGAAATGGCGCCATTTCAAAATGAACTGTTTTCCCTGCGCTGGTGAGACAATTCCCAAACTCACAAGCGATTTGTTGTCTCCAAATCCACCAGTTTTGGCAAGTTCCCTGCCAGCTAAAACTGTGCTTGGCTCTGCTCAGTTGCTGGCTGCCCCATCCCCATGTGCAGGCACTGCAGCACAGCCCCGGCACTGCTGGGACAGGGGCTGGGGACAGTCCTGCGGCGCAGGGGGAGCATCACCTGTGACGGTGTTGACGCTGCCACTGCCTTTCTCTGCAGATTCGGCTGAGCGGGGGCCGGAGCCGCTTCGAGGGGCGGGTCGAGGTGGCGGTGGGGGCTGGCGACGGGGACCAGCCCCGCTGGGGTCTGGTCTGCGGCGAAGGCTGGGGTACGCTCGAGGCGATGGTGGCCTGTCGCCAGCTGGGTCTGGGATTCGCTAACCACGGCTTACAAGTAGGTGCCAGCACCGGCTTGGCCAGGGCGGCAGCAGCCAGCACCACTTGCTCACGGGGCTGGGGACGGGGATGGATGGGGATGGCGGTGGGACAGGAGGTGGCACGGCGTGGGGTGCGCGCTCACGGCCCCAGGGCTTCCCCGCAGATCCGCCTGGCCGGCGGGAGGACAGAGTTTGAGGGCCGCGTGGAGGTGAAGCGAGGCAGTAAGTGGGGAACGGTCTGCAGCGATGGCTGGACCACCAAGGAGGCCATGGTGGCCTGTCGTCAGCTCGGCCTGGGCTACTCCCTGCATGCTGTGACGGTAGGTGCCAGCGAGGAGGGCCCCGGTGATGCCCTGGTGAGCACAGGCACCGGCCAGCGCTTCCCAAATGACCGTGGGGCTGCATGGGGACAGATGGGGACAGAGGGACCTGGACCCTGTGGGTAGCTAGGGCCCTGGGCTGTGGTGGGGGGCTTGGCTGCAGCCTGGGTATAAGTGATCCTGGGCAATCCGGCCGCCAGCCCTGCCACCCACCCTGCCTCACCCCCTCGCCAGGAGACGTGGTACTGGGACGCCAGCAACGTGACAGAGATGGTCATGAGCGGGGTGAAGTGCGCCGGCCACGAGATGTCCCTGAGCCACTGCCAGCACCACGGCGCCAGCCTGAGCTGCAGGAACACGGGCACGCGCTTCGCTGCGGGCGTCATCTGCTCCGAGAGTGAGCGGCCATGGGGGCTGCAGGGGGCCTGTCTGTGGTGGGGGTTCTGCAGAGAGGGGGCTGTGGGGAGTGGGCTCTGCAGGGATGGACTCTAAGCACTGGGGTCTGTGGGTGGTGTGGTTTGTGGGTAGTGGGGTCTGCAGGAATGGTCTGTGGGCAGTAGGGTCTGCAGGCAGTGGGGTCTGCAGGAATGGACTCTGAGCACTGGGGTCCGTGGGCAGTGGGGTCTGAAGGCAGGGACTCTGAGCACTGGGGTCCGTGGGCAGTGGGCTCTGCAGGAATGGACTCTGAGCACTGGGGTCTGTGGGCAGTGGGCTCTGCAGGAATGGACTCTGAGCACTGGGGTCTGTGGGCAGTGGGCTCTGCAGGGATGGACTCTGAGCACTGGGGTCTGTGGGCACTGGGGTCTGCAGGCAGTGGGCTCTGTAAACAACAGTGTTATGGGGCCAGGGGCTGTGCTCAGTGGGGTTTGCAGATGGAGGTCAGGGTCAGCCAACACCCAGCAAATGCGGAGGGCACATGTCCCCCCGTGGCTGGCTCAGCCCTGCCAGCAGTGGGCACTGCCCCCTCCCCTCCCCTCGCCCCATCCCTGCCGAGTGCCGAGGGCAGGGCCCGTCCCTGAGCAGCCGCCTGTCCCCAGCCGCCTCCGACCTGCTGCTGCACGCGCCGCTGGTGCAGGAGACGGCGTACATCGAGGACCGGCCGCTGCACATGCTGTACTGCGCCGCCGAGGAAAACTGCCTGGCCAGCTCGGCCCGCCTGGCCAACTGGCCCTACGGCCACCGCCGCCTGCTCCGCTTCTCCTCCCAGATCCACAACCGCGGCCGCGCCGACTTCCGCCCCAAGGCCGGCCGCCACTCCTGGGTCTGGCACGAGTGCCACCGGTGCGTGTGGGCAGATGGGGCTGGGGGTCAGGGAGGGGAGAGGGTGAGGAGGGTGCTGGGCAGAGGACACTGTGCAAGTGTGACACTGAGAGGGTGATGCTGGATGAGGGTGACACTGGGTGAGGGTGACGCTGGATAGCCCCAATCTGCTGCCCAGGGTCCAATGTTGCCAGGTTTGGCTTAGGGCTGATCCTGGATGAGCAGTTGGGGCTGGGGTCTCCAGGAGGGCAGGGACAAGACTGCAGGCTGTGCCCTGCAGCTGAGCCCTGTGCTTGCATGGGCAGGACACAGCTTTGCCCAACTCACAGTGCTGCCACCTCAGAGCAGGGGCTGAGGGGACATTCCTGGCAGCGAGGGGCTGGGCAGGTGGCAGGGGGCTGATGCAGGGCAGTCTGCAGCAGGCACTGGCTCCCTCCCACAGGCACTACCACAGCATGGACATCTTCACCCACTACGACATCCTGACCCCCAATGGCACCAAGGTGGCCGAGGGACACAAGGCCAGCTTCTGCCTGGAGGACACTGAGTGCGAGGAAGGTGGGCGACGTAGGGCCCTGCAGCACCGTCCCTGCCCGTGTCCCCATCGTGGGGCCAGGCTGGGGGGCTCAGCAGGGGCCAGCTGTGTCTCCTCCTGCCTGCAGACGTGGCCAAGAGGTACGAGTGTGCCAACTTTGGGGAGCAGGGCATCACTGTGGGCTGCTGGGACCTGTACCGGCACGACATCGACTGCCAGTGGATCGACATCACCGACGTCAAGCCAGGCAACTACATCCTACAGGTGCTGCACCTCAGTGGGAGACCATCCCTGTCTCCCACTGGAGCTCAGTGGGTGTGCTGGCATGGGACAGTGCCTGTCCTTGTGCCCACAGACGTGCAGGGCTGCTCAGACACACTGTCACATGGGTTTTCCAACTCTGAGCAGCACTGCTCATGGGCACATGGTGCTCAGGGACAGGACCACCCCACCACATCAGCAGCCACTGGCTCCTTGGAGCTCTCCGGCACACCCACCACAGCTGGGGAGACACATCCTGTGGGGCTGGGGCAGGGGTCTCACTGTCGGTGCCCCACAGGTCGTGATCAACCCCAACTTCGAGGTGGCAGAAAGTGACTTCACCAACAATGCCATGAAGTGCAACTGCAAGTACGACGGGCACCGCATCTGGGTGCACAGCTGCCACATCGGTAACAGCCCGGGCACGGCACAGGGGGAGGGTGGAGGGCAGTGACAGGCCTGCAGGAAGCCATGAGGATGAGGATGGGCTGGCATGGTGCTGCTGGGGGCTGGCATGGTGCTGCAGTGGAAGGTGCTGGCAGGGCAGGGGATGCACTGCAGCAGAGCTGACAGCCCCTGCCCTCTGCCCGCAGGAGATGCGCTCAGCGAGGAGGCCAACAAGCGGTTTGAGCAGTACCCAGGTCAGCTCAACAACCAGATTTCATAGGGCCCCGGGCCTGGGGAGACAGGCATCTCCCTCCCTCACCCCGTACTGGTGGGAGGAAGCCGCTGGAAGACCGGCAGGGAGGCCTGATGCCCAGTGCTGCTGCCACTGTGTCCTGCCGGGGACTGCCCAGGACTCGCCACCTCGGGGGGGCTGGTGCTGGAGGCACTGACCCCTGCACCTCCCAGCCTGGGGCTGTCACCCCAACCACTGGCCAGAAGAGCGTGCCCACATCCCCTGGGCTGCGGCACACGGGTACAGTCCGGGAGGTCCTGCACCCCCCATCCCTCCCATCCCAGCTGCACCCCAACTTCCCACTGCCCCCTTCAGCCCTGGTTCCTCTCACCCCACAGCTCGCCCCCTCAGCTGGCCCCAGGGCCCACCACCCACACAGGAGCTCCTGGTCCCCCCAGGATGGTGCAGGTGTCTCTGCCCACAGCGCTGCCCAGGGGTGGCTCCTACCCCGTCTCTCAGTTGTAATTTTATTTCCTCTATAAAGTTATAAGTTCTATTTCCCAATGGTTGCTGGCACGTCTCTGGGCTGGGATGAGGAGCCTGGCAGGTGGCACGGTTCATTCTGCAGGGCTGGTAGCCACACTGGCACAGTGTGGGAGCATTCCCTGGCCCCTGCCATGCCTCATCCACACAGCCCTGGCCCCCCAGCAGCCCCCAGCACCGTCCTCAGCCAGGGCTGCTCCTCTGGGGGAAACCCAGCTGGATGAGAGGAAGGGACCAGCAGCAGCCCCACAGCATCCTGTGGGGAGGAACTGAGGAGCAGGGATGTGCGAAAGAAGAGCTGGTTCTCCCTCACCAGATCCAGGGTGAATGTTACGGAGCAGAAATCCTGTCCTGGGGCTGTGACCCTTGAGGATTGGTGTCCACAGGACCCGTGACCCACAAGAACCGAGGTGTCACAGCAGAGCGGGGCTGCCTCGACTCGTGTGGGAGCACAGCCCGGCCGGGCCTGCAGCCGAGACACTGGGCAGGAGCACTCGGATGTGACACAGGGGCTGAGGGAAATCCAGCCCAGCTCTCACCCCTCAGCTGCGTGCTCTGACCCCACCAGCCCTTCCCCACTGCAGGGAGCCCGGGCTCTGCCCTCAGCCTGGGAGGAGGAGCGGGCAGGCCTTGGCGCGGCCCTGGAACGCTGCGGTCAGCGCAGCCGGAGCAGCTATGCCAGACACGCCGCGATTTCCCCCCATTTCCCCCGGGCCGGCGGCGCTGGCCGGGGCAGCGAATTCCTCCGGCGGGGCCGGGGCTGCTGAAAGGAGGCTTGTTCTCAGGGCAGAGCCGCCCCTTGCCGCGGCACCCCCGAGGAACTGTGCTGCTTTCATGTCCCAAAAGCAGCAGCCGGGGCTCGGGAGCGCCGCCGCGGGCAGGGCCTGGCCCGACAGCCGCATTCCTCCGCTGCTCCGGGCTGCCCTCGCCGCTGCTCCCGCTCCAGCGGCGGCTCTTCCAGGAAGGCGAGGAACAGCCGGAGCTGTTCCTTCCCCGAAGGCCCTCGGCCGCAGGCCGTCCCCAGGGGCCGGGTGTGTGTGGGAGCAGAGCTCCAGCACGGACAGCGAGCTCAGGGCGGGACAGGCAGAGCCCCGGCCCCGGCTGTGGCTCCCATCCTCAGCCCTCCTGGACATCAGGACCAGGAGATGCCAACTCAGCCATCACGAGTCCAGCATTGACACCAATTTACCACAGCCTGGAAAGCTGCTGCAGGAGGGGATGTGGACACATGGCTTGGAGCAGTCACAGCTCCCAGCAGAAGGGATGTGACCAGATGGCCACCAGCACTGCTGCGCTCCAGGGAGGTAAAGCCGGTCCCAGACCCACTCTGGGGCTGCTCTCACCCACAGAGGGGCCACACAATCCATGGCTCGACAGCTGCCTGCCAGGTACACAGAGGGGCTGGATCCCAGCCCAGGTGGGTTCCAAGCAGGTGGCAGAACACCATGAACACTGATAAGGTCCCTGGAGGCACAGCAAGCTCCTCCCCAGCCACAGGGTCTCATGTGGGGACTGACAGGAGGAGTAAGGTCCCACACATCCCAGCCTCCACCAGGCAACTGCTTCCGCCATGGGAAGGAGATGACACGGCCCTGGGGGCCGCTAGAAAAGTGCTTTATTTGAGTACAGAAGGGCACAGCTGCACCACAAGTCACCCAAGCACAGGCCCCTCTCCTGGCCCCTTCCAGCCCTGCACAAGCTCTGTCTCTGCCTGGCCAGCACAGACACATCTCAGTCCTGCCCTCAGCTCCAGCCGGGTGGTCTCTGCTACTCGGTGACCTCGGGGACGACGCTCACCAGCAGGGTGTCGTAGCCGCGCCGCACCAGCAGGGCCAGGCTCTGCTCCGTCCTCACCGCCTCGTACACGTCCTCGGCACGCCGGGACACCGTCCCGTTGATCTCCAGCACCACGTCCCCAGCCTTCAGCCCTGCCCTGCGGGGAGAACATGCACAGAGAGTGAGGCAGACACTCGGCGTCATCGTCCTCCAGGTGCTGTGGCACCAGAGGTTCTAGAGCTGTGCTTGGCCAGCACGACAGCCAGCATGGGAAGAGTGGTTTCTGCTGTAGAGCCCAAGCCTGCTGCTCTGCAGCAAAACACACCCCAGAGCTGCTCCCTCACCCAGCCCTAAGGCACGGGGCAGCACTTACTGGTGTGCCGGGGAGCCGATGATCACCTTGTGGATCAGGACGCCGTAGGAGATGTCGGGAAAGGTGGGGTCACGCAGCTTCAGCTCTGCCAGGATGCTGCATAGTGAACAGCAGCATCAGGGATGGAGCTGGAGGCAGAGCAGGGCTCCCACCCCACTCCCTGCAGCTGCTCAGGCTCAGAGAGCAGGCACAGAACCTCTCCTCCTGTGTCCCTGCATGAGCCACAGCTGCCAGCCCCAAACACCACCATCCTCCTATCAAAACAAGAATGAGAATCCCAATGGCATCAGGGAGAGCTGGAAACCCCTGGAGCAGCTGCCAGCTGGATCAGAGCTGTGGTGATGCACACCCCCATGTCACATCACCCTCCCCGGGGTCAGACCCACCCCTCCTCTGCTGCAGTTTCACTTCTCTGCCCCAGCTGGGCAGGACACACAACACAAGCTGTGCCCCTCTTCCTGCCAGACATGTCAGCAGAGCCCTCCTCCTGAGTCTAGAGACTAAACAATCACAGTTTCTCACACTTTCCCACAGATTGTGGAATTTCTAAACCAAATTTAAACTCTGCATCTCTCACAGCTCCTCTTTGGACTCTCCCCAGCTGCTCCTCACCCGTCTTGAATGAAATCCAGAAGTGGATGCAACACTCCAGCTGGATCTCTCCAGTGACAGCATTCTTCCCTCAAACACTGCATCAGCTCCAATCCCTGCAGACCCACACACTCGGTCTCTGGCCAGCTCTGCTCCTGTCAGGTCCCTGCTCAGCCAGTCAGGGCTCCCCACGTGGCTGTGGTCTGTGCTGAACTCTGCTGTCCCACAGCCCAGTGCAAGCTGCCATCCCTTCCCAATTTCACACAGCAAAGGTGGGAAGAGGCTTCTCAAGTTCCTCTCACCCCACCCCCAGCAGGCTCAGTCAGGGCAGGCTGCTCTGGACAGTGTCCAGCTGGGATTTGAGGATCTCCAAGGACCCTCCAGGCAATGTCTGCCAGGCTCTGAGCACACTCCTCACAGTAAAAAAAGAGATTTCTTGTGGATTCTCACACATCTCTGTGCCCACTGCCTCTTATCTGGCCTGGGCACCACGGACAGAACAACGGGGTCTGAGCCTGAGCCTGTGCCCAACACAGAGCTTCTCCTTCCTGTGCCAGGGAAAAGTTTCCAGATGGAAAGGTTCAGGGTGTTCAGGGCAGTCACCTGATTCCAAGGCCAGCAATCCCTTGCTGGGAGCCCTTCCTGCTGGGCACAAACAAGGCTGGCAGTCAGGTGCTTTCCCTGGATCACAGCTCGGGGCTGTGCGGAAGCCGGAGCCGCGTGCCCGGAGCCGTGTCCGAGGAATTTCACGCTGCTTCCTGACAGTGCCGGTCCTTGCAAGCGTGGCCAGGGGAGCAGGAGGAGGCTGGGCTGGCCTTCCCCATCCCTGGGGTTCTGCCGGGTACCAGCACCATCTGCTGGGCATTGGGGAACTCACCAGAGCTTTAGGAGGGCGGAGCACAGCCCCAAAAGGTGTTTGCCCAGCACGGCACAACACGAGGCAGCTGAAGGTCCCTTAAATGTGGCTGCAAGAGCCAAAGAAGCAGAGCAGGTGTTGTCCTTCTCCCAGAGGTGAGAGCACAGGTCCTGCTCGCTGACATGGGCACTTCAAGTCCAACCACTCCCCCAGCTCTGCCAAGGCCAGCACTGGCCATGTCCTCAGATGCCACATACACACAGCTGTCAAATCCCCCCAGAGATGGAGATTCCAGCATTGTCCTACGCAGATATGCCAGGGCTGGACAGTCCTTTCAAGGAGGAATTTTCCCAATATCCAACCTCAACCTCCCCTGGCACAACCTGAGGCAGTTTCCTCTAGTCCTGTCCCTTGTTCCCTGGGAGCACAGCCTGACCCCCACCTGGTTCCACCCTCCTGTGGAGAGGGAGAGCACTTTTCATCTGCTCACAGAGTCTGCTACCAATGAAGAAACTTGCAAGTTTCCAATTTACCCGTGAGCCAGCTGAGAGCCTAACCACAACACAAGCACAAAGAGACTTGAGAGTGAAAGCTTAAGCTGTGGAGACAATCCTCCCTAAACCAGGCATCCTCAGTTAGTTGGGAAGATCCCATCACATCCCTGCCCCAACAGGACTGGTCTGTTGGCCCCTGAGCTCATGACAGGTACCTGGGAGTTAGGGTCAGCATCATCACCCCGATGTACCGGCGCTTGCATTCTGCATTGCCAAACCAAGAGCCTGCGGAAGGAAAGGACATGGAATGTCATGGCTGGAAAACAGAGATCTGCTCAGAACAGTGCTGGGCTGAGCCCTCAGGGCAGGCAGCATCCAGAGCCATTCCAAATCCCTGTAACAGCTCAGTCCAGTTCCCAGCACCAACGGGAGAATTCCAGGTGTTGCATTTTGCACCGTGACTTGGCTTCCCTGGTTTGTCAGATTTTTGACAAAGAATGTCCCTCCCCAGTGTCACAGAAGAACCAGACAGGCCAAGGCGGCAGCAGCACAGCTTTCCTGTGGCACCAGATGAGGCCCCAAAGACTTCTCCTGCCTTTCTTGGGAAGAAGGGTCCAGAGGCCAAGGTTTCCCTCTCTCATCATCCTCCCCCAGAGCCCGAGCAGGGAGGTCCCCACTCACTCTTGCGGTGCTCCTCCTTCTGCAGGAACTTCCGCAGCCGGTCCGAGGGGATGGCAAAGGAGATGCCTGATGTCACCTTCATGGTGTTCACGCCAATCACCTCGCCATCCTGCAGGGAAAGGGCATTGGGATCCCAGTGCAGCAATCCCAGCAGTCACCCAGCCTGGATCACTGTGGAGAGCAGGAGAACTACTGCACCAGCCTGGGGTCCTGCCTCTGTGCCCACCCCTTCCCAGGCT